TCTACATAAGTGTATTCTTTATTCTTCATTTTACACTTTATTCTTCCATGAAATTGTTTTTAGAAAACGAGACTTTAAAAAAAAATTTAGGTTGACACTTTTTGGGGAAGTAACTATTTTGCAATTACTAAATATGTTGGGAATAAAAAAAATACTATATTTGTTCCAAAACATTGCAAGTTTTGCAAGCTACAGTGAATCTTGGAGGGTTTTGGTTATTTGGAAGGTCATTTTTGTGCATAAAAGGCTAAATAATGAAAAACACAATCTGTAGGCCTAAAGTTGTGAAACGTGAACACCTGACTACATTTTTTTGCATGACCCTGTTGGTGTGTAATTGATTATCTGTCATCTGACACTAGAGGGAGCCCTCTGGAGCTACAGTAGTCACATGCATCTGTCAGCTGTCATATCACTGCAGTCCAGTTGAGAAGAAACAACAGTGCTACAAATGTGTCTCTACAGGAACATAGTGTGGTTTATCAAGGGAATGAGGGAGTATACAAGGTAAAGGTCTTTTTTTGTATTTCTTACTGAATTCTTCAGTTTATTGTGTTGTTGTGGTCATTGGGCTGCTTTGTTGCTGATAACTTTAGAGTCTGAGAAAGTGTGTTGCACTGTCTTTTGTAATGTTTTATTGTTTCTAATCGCTATGAGATGGTTTTCATTGCTATGATCATTTAATAATTTTACACAAAATTATTCTGGCCTGAGCATATATTTAGCGGCTGCTCAGAACTGCTACAAAAACACAGTCTTAAATTGTGTTCTCGCAAGCCAAATGTTGTTAGACGTAGTGGTATCTTGCACAAATGTTGTTTTTGTAGTTCTCCGAGTCATCTCTTCTGACATGCATTCATCCAAGCCCTCAGTTTAAGGTCAGTAATCATTGCATCACAATGGGCCCTATTGAGACCCCTGCCGCTCTCTCAAGTGCCCTGTCATCCTACACAGAAGCTTCTTTGGCCCCTGATCAGGGCTCTTGTCTTAGGACCTCTGTCTCAGATGTCCAGTGGTCACATAACAATTCAAGAATTGTGATAAAAACACACTTTTATGGATAACAGCGCAGCTCATGCTGGTTGTGTTTCTGATTTGATTCATGTGCTGGATGTTGTCAGCAGGTCTGGATTTGAGAATGCCTCTAAGAGCTTTGTAGCAAAGGACCTGGATGTGTCTATGGTGGGCCGTTCCTTCATGATCACCGGAGCCAACAGCGGAATAGGGAAGGCGACAGCCATGGCCATAGCCAAAAAAGGTGTGTTTTACAGTCACACAAACACTTTTTTTGAGGTTACAATATTATTTTCCAACCATAAATCTGTTGTGGTGTTACTATAGTACATTGATGGCAGAAGATGGTACCATGGTACTTTAATACCCTACTTGAACATACATTCACACATAAACGCACATTCTTCTGTGTACTGGTTGTCGTCCGCCCCTCCTCTTCTCATGGGTAACACACATATACTGTACATAATTAACAGTTATTGTATACCTCTGCCCATACATTATAAGACATTTCTTGGAAACAAAAATAAATAATAACATACTGTAAGCAATGCGCTACATTCAAAACATTATCCCAATAATCCCATTGCATTTCTTTGATATTACACAACAATGAGTTTGTTTATCTGAAGGGATTTAGAGAAATTTAGCTTTACATCACTTGCTCAGCAAAGGATCCTCTGCAGTGAATGGGTGCCGCCAGAATGAGAGTCCAGACAGCAGGTAAAAACATCACAAAAATTAAACAATTAAAGTCATGTGAAATGAAAAACTGCATGTTTGTAAGAAACAAATCCATCATTAAGGTGTTCTAACGTTAAACTGTCACTTCTGGCCAAAACACAAGTCCATAATCCATAATACAGCCCATGCAGAACTCATTGTTAATACTAGGGTGTTGTATGGTTGCTAAAGTTTTCTACATATATTCATTTGCATTTGTTCTGAGTGTGCTGCAGTGCAATAATTGCTAATTGCATAGAAGAATTCTGTAAAATCAGTCTTCTCCTCAACAAGCTACATGATTTAACGTTGAAGAATGTGATACCTATATTAATTCATTATGTATTTTTTCCCCTCTTGTCCAAGGTGGCACTGTTCATATTGTCTGCCGAAACCAAGAGCGAGCCGAGAGAGCCAGAGAAGAAATCATCTCAGCGAGTGGAAATAATGTGAGTGTCTCATTTATTGCTTACGATGCTTCAATGTCACACAAAATAAAATGATCGGCGTTTAAAAGGTTTCTGAATGATTTTCTTCCACTGCTTTCACTTTGTGATGTGCATCTATCGTAGGAGGTTTACGTCCACGTGTTGGACCTCTCCGAGTCAAGAAAGGTGTGGGAGTTCGCCGAGGCCTTTAAGAAGGAGCACTCATCGCTCAATGTTTTGGTATGAGTGTCAGAGAGCTCCTTTAGGAGATTCCCATCATACCTCACTATATTAAAGAAAGTACCAGCATTCAGCTGAAGCTTACAGGTGCAGGACAGATGAAGAAATATCCTCTCCTTTAATCTCGTCTCCCACACTTATCCCTCTCAGATCAATAATGCCGGATGTATGGTGAACCAGAGGGAAATGAACTCTGACGGACTGGAGAAAAATTTTGCCACCAATACTCTTGGTAAGACACAACAGTCAGAAATACAGTAAAAACTGTATTATTGTTAAATATTAGTACGATTTTAAATAACTGTTTTCTATTACAGTAATTTATTCCTGCGATGCAAAGCTGAATTTTCAGCATCATTACTCCAGTCTTCAGTGTCACATGATCCTTCAGAAATCATTCTCATATGCTGATTTGCTGCTCAAGAAACATTTCATATATTATTATCAATGTTGAAAACAGTTGTGCTGCTTAATATTAGTGTGAAAACTGTGATATATATATATTTTTTTAGAATTCTTTAATAGAAAATTCAAAAGATGAACATTTATTATATATATATATTTGAAATCATTATAAACATTATAAATGTCTTTCCTGTCACCTTTGATAAATTTAATGCATCTTTGCTGAATAAAATCTTTTTTTTTTCTTACAAATATCTTACTGACCCCAAAATTGAGTGGTAGTGTATAATATTATTTTATAGAATAAATATTATGTTATAAAATATAGAATATATGTTGAATTTACTATTTAATCAAATCTTGTCCTCTGCAGGTGTTTATGTTCTGACTAAATGTCTGATCCCATTGCTGGAGAAGAGCAGGGACCCCCGAGTTGTGAGTGAAAAACAACACTGATCTCAATGTCTTGATTTATTAAATACAATTCTGCCTGAGACTGCATTCTTTCACAATGCATATGTGAAGACATAAACAGTTACTGTGTTTTTGACACACAACCTATGATAGATGTGATTATATTTTAGTAACAGCAATGTGTGCACATCCACAGAAGTACCTGTTTCTCTCTCATATTGTGCTGCTAATAATGTCTCTGATAGATCACGGTGTCATCGGGAGGGATGCTGGTGCAGAAACTAAACACGGATGACCTGCAGACAGAGAGAGCTCCATTTGATGGTACCATGGTATACGCACAAAACAAGGTGTTTAGAGACAATATTTAGAATTTTTAGAATTAAGAGCATTTTGCCTTGTAATATAATATTTTTTTTTATTAGGGAATCATTGCTATTTTTATTGCTCATTCGTTTCATTTACATTTATTCCTTTATAAGAATTTAAGGTTAGCAGCACCCTAGCAGCCACCCATAAATGTTTAACACAGACAAAACACCACTCACATTTTTTATTTAAAAATTTTTAAAAAGTCAATATGAAACTTTTAAAATTAAAAATGCAAAATGTATAAATTTTGATAATTTATAAATTGTTTTTAAATTAATTTATGCAAAAAAATTTTTTTATTTTAATGCAAAATGTATACATTTTTATAATTTATAAATTGTTTTTAAATTAATTTAATATTGTCCCCAAGTATTGATTTGTAGCCTTTCAACTGTAAAAGAGCAACTCCACACATATATTGCAGTGTGTTATAGGCAGTATTTTCATTTAAATGAAAAATGGCCTCACATTTTCATTATTTTAAAACTGTAAAATCTTTTTTTTACGTCAATATTAAATGTTTAAATGTAAAATTTAGATTTATAAATGATTTGTAAAATTATAAATTACAAAGAAATAATAAAATAAAATAAAAAATTAAATTAAATTAAATTAAATTAACAAAATTTACATTTAGTAAGTACTGTGGTAGTGAAAATATTCCAAACTATGGTAATACCATTTTTTTTTAATACTAATACTTTACAGTTCTGTGGTAATACATTACAGTACCCTGGTATATAAATATGGTAATCAAACAATGAAATATATCAAAGTACTTTAGAAAAGTGTTGGCAGACATTTTCTTATCAAATTAATTTACACGGATAACATGAAAAAGATTATAATTAAATAATTTTATTCATGAAGAGACTAAAATTCATTAATATTTTGTATTAAATTGAGATGAGCAGGGTTACCGTTCTCTCAGCTGTTGCCAAGCAACAGGTGACACAAAGTGCCAGCAGTGGCGTCTCCATTAAACAATATCTGATGCAGTAATGATTATGACCTTTTACTAAACACTCGTTATGTGTCTCTCTCTCTGTGTGTGTGTGTGTGTGTGTGTGTGTGTGTGTCTGTGTCCACAGAGGCAGCAGGTAGTGATGACAGAGGTCTGGGCGAAAGCAAATCCCAAAATTCATTTCTCTGTGATGCACCCTGGGTGGGCCGACACACCAGGTCTTACTCATTTTAATAAGTCAACAAGCAAAATAATGTACTAATTGTTTACTGGGAGCATGGTTATGCCAGTTTGGCATAATGATTCTGTTTACTTACAGTTTTGAGTTAAAAAATTTTTTTTGTCCATAATTATTAATTTGAAGTCTTTTAGCTGTAAAAGGGCAACTCTAGATTTGTTTGCAGTTTTATTTTAGTTTCATTTAGATACTATTGTATAATTAATTATACATGTAGATTTCATTAATTGTTTTTATTTATATTTATTATATTTTAAACCTAAAGTTAGTTGTTTTTATTATTATTATTATTATTATTATTTTAAATATGTCTACATAGTTTTTTAAAAGTGATTTTTATTTCAGTTTTAGTTTTAGTTATTGTAGTACATCAACTTAAACTAAATGAAAATGAGAAATTTTGCCTCGGCAACTAAAATCAAATTTTTTATGTATATATTTTATAAAAAATTTTTTTTTAATGATTTTAGCTTTATTGA